CCACCTTAGGTGTACGTGGCTGGCGCCTTAGCCGCTTGAGCCACAGGCGCAGAGCCTATTTATTTTTTTGAGACAGAGTCTCACTCTACCCTCAGCAGTGCCGTGGTGTCACAGCTCACAGCTACCTCCAACTCTTGGGCTTACGCGATTCTCTTGCCTTAGCCTCTCAAGTAGCTGAGACTGCAGGCGCCTGCCATAGCACCCGGCTGTTCTTTTGTTGCAGTTGTTTAGCTATCCCAGGCTGGATTTGAACCTGCCACTCTTGGTGTATATGGCTGGTACCGTAACCACTGTGCTATGGGTGTCAAGCCAATGTGATTGTTTTTAGTCAATGTTTGCCCTCTTGCAGAATGACAGGCAAAATCATACTTGTTTTTACATTTGCATCCACATATATTACACTGAAAAGTATTTTCATACACATGACACCCCATATGAATAGTGTAAAGCAGGGGTCCTCAAACTTTTTAAACAGGGGGTCAGTTCACTGCCCCTCAGTGGGCCGGATAAATGTCCTAGGCGGGCTGCATGTGGCCCGTGGGCCATAGTTTGAGGACGCCTGGAAGGATATTGTCTGCAAAGTACATATCACAGTGTTGGCAGTGGTACAGCTGAGTGTCCTGGATCCATATGTTTGAGGACACCTGGAAGGATATTGTCTGCAAAGTACATATCACAGTGTTGGCAGTGGTGCAGAAGCTGAGTGTCCTGGATCTGCAGGGCAGGGGCTGGAGTGCTTGGCTGGCTATTTCCTATACTAGGAGTGCTCATGTGGCCACTTGGCTCAGTGCTCGGACCTGCCACTGGACTATAGTTCCTTTGACTGTGTGATGGCTGAGGCTTGTGGAAGAGGAGCTCTGGGGAGTACTTGCTGACACAGCTGAAAGTACTCTGCTAAATCATGAAAGGCTTTTCATTGAGGTAGTGAACTACATCAGGGGATGCAGGGTTTTGGTTTACAGGAGGCAAACTGGATAACTGTCTGCTAAAGTCGAGAGCTGATTCAAAGGGTTGTCAACCATGAGTTCTTGGAGGTCCCTTGGAAGGCCACCGGTTGGTGTGGTTTTTGCCATTCTTTCATAGGAGTCAGTCTGGATGTTTGGGATCTCATGGGTAAAATCATTAAGGTAAGCTGGTTT